AGGGGGGGAGGAGGAGGAAAGAGAGAGAGAGAGTGTTTGTGGTGTGTGTGTGTGTGTGTGCGTGTGTGTGTGTGTGTGTGTGTTTGTGTGTGTGTGTGTGTGTGTGTGTGTGTGTGTGTGTGTGTGTGTGTGTGCATTGCGGAGTCAGAGAAGTAGAGACAATCACGTACACAGACAAATAAAGATCATGACGCTGTTCTGACCTTGTTATCTTACCGATCACGTCTACACATTACAGTTCTTCTAGTATCCCCTTCCTTTGTTAGTGTGTTGCTAGGAGACCCCATTCGATCCCGTTGTAGTAAGGAACCTTTTGTCTTCTTCGTGACTGGCGCTGCAGCCCTTATGTGCTGAGCCCGCCCCGCCCCGCCCCGCCCCGCCCCGTCCCGTCCCGTGCTGTCGTCTGCCCACTCCGGCATGACGGCTTTGGCTTCGGCCAAAAAGGTCCGATCATCTAGATCCTGGTCTCAGTTTCGAGACGTCAGCGAGCCGATATGCCAGACTTTCGTGTCATTTCGAAGAACTTCTGAGCCGTAATGTAGGCAGAAGTAAACTACAAGCGCTGGATCGCTTGTTCAAAGACTTGTGATTGTTATTTCTTTACATTTTGCGGCATATTATCCTTTACAAACTGATTCGCGACGTGCTGCAAGTCTTTGATTTACCTGCATTCTGTGTACCTGTGAGGATTTCGAAACAATACCGGATATTGATTTCTTAGTGCAATGAAGAGATTGGTTATTTTCGCTTCGCTCCTGTGGCTGGCCACAGGTAGGAGTATTTGTAGTTCAGATGGTCGTGTTTGTATCGATTGATTACTGTCCATGTCTTTCTTATTTGGAGTGTTGCTGCATTAAATGTGGCCTTACAAACTGCATGTTGATAAAGTAACACTGAATAATACGCATTTAAAGACGGCATAAAATTGCCCTAAAGGGATCATTAACTAATTCTTCTCGTTCAGGTCGATGTTAGGAAGAAGTCCTGGATTGAAGAGAGAGAGAGAGAGAGAGAGAGAGAGAGAGAGAGAGAGAGAGAGAGAGAGAGAGAGATTTGGTGAGGGGTACTTGTAGGATGGTAAAGATAGATTCTTCTCGTGTGTGTCTGTGTGAGTGTTTGTGTTGTTGTTTTTTTTGTTCTGTTTTGTTTGTCTTTGTTTTTGTTTTGTTTTGTTTGTTTGTTTGTTTGTTGCTTGTTTGTTATTGTTTTGTTGTTGTTGTTGTTTTGTTGATTTTTTTGTTTTGTTGTTGTTTTTTGGGGTGGGGGTGACATTTTAAGTGCTCAATAATAAAACAAGGGGGCAGGGTGGGGGTAAAATGATGGAGCAATAGGGAAACCTTTTTGTATTTTTACAACAGCGCACTTAAAGAAAATATCGTTGTCGGTCGCGTTGACATGAATATAAATAGGAAAGAAACCCTGTGGGGAAAGTTACGATTTTTTTGTTGCATGGTGATGACGATTAGACAGGGCTCTGTCCTCATTGTGGAACTGGACTTGCAGCATCAAATCCCATGTTGTAAGATAAATTGTCTCATGCACCAGAGGCGGGGCATACAGAACGGAGACGAAACTGTTGTAGTCTACCCTGAGACATCAGAATTTTGATGACTTCACTTACTATGTCTTAATCACAGAGTATTTCATCGTCACCCTCCCCCACCCTCTTGTTCTCCTTATCCCCACCCCCCGCGACAACTCGCTTCATGCTCTCACCTTCTCATTCCTTCTCCTCCTCCTCCTCCTCCTCCGCCTCCTCCTCATCATCATCATCATCA